GTTCCATGTATCGACTAGCTCCTTCCTCTATACAAGTTTTTTCAAATGAAGAAAAACTGGTTTTTTTTTTTTTTTTTCCCCCGACAAAGAGCACTTTCAGTTGTGTTAGATATTATCCGTTATGAACGGCCCTTAATGTAACTCCGGGAATGGTTGTAGGAAAAAATGTCACCCGGAAAAAAGGGAAACGGAAAGAATGTCCCCGGAAAATAAGGAACGGAAAAAAATGTCACCCTTCGTTTGCAATAGAAATATAAGGCATGCTTAGAAGATCGCCAAGCTGGGTGATAAAAGTTTTATCTTACCTTAAAACCTCCCTCAAGAGAGCCCGCTATAACCCTGCCCGTTAAATTAGAATTCGGGAGGTTCACCCAACTCCAATTTGGCGAGATTTTAGAGTTCCTTTTTTCCGTTTCTTATTTTCCGAGTGACATTTTTTCCGTTCCTTATTTTCCGGAGACATTCTTTCCGTTTCCCTTTTTTCCGGGTGACATTTTTTCCGCACACCAAAAACAAAGTCGAGTGGTGTGACATCCAAAGAACGAAATCGGTGTGCGCCAGCGCACTTTAGCAGAAAAGAAGAAACGCTGTACGTTATAAAATGTTGAAAGGAGAGCTACTTGCAACTTAATTGAACCTTACAAATTAAACGTGCTAGCAATTATTTACATCCAGATACATGTGAGCTATTTATTATAAGAACCTATAGTTGAATATATAAGAATACCAACGTTTAGAAAAATATGCACCAAATTCACATTTATAAAAATTCATTAAAACGGCGAAAGAACGATGTTATGTCTGTTGGTGAAAAGTACAACAGTCGAAGTGTGGAAGGCTTATGACATGAGATAATACTATATTCTGCACTGAGATTCCCGCCGTTATCTTTTTATGCTGAAAGATACTATGCGGTCACATCCGTCAACAGTGCAACCTGCTTAAGCACGCGCTCTGGCAAGTAGGCAAACAGCTCACTCTACCAGCCTCGCTCCATATGAGGATGTGGACGAGAAAGGAGAATTAAAATATTCGCCCGAAGTATCGCGGGGAGAATGAAGAAGGGGGAAGATTTGAAAGGGTGGGGTGGCATTTCCAGCTTCGGTGGTGGGCGAAAGAGAGGAAAGTAGGGGAGTGGGAAGCATGACGTAGTCGAGGGACCACCCCGATCGTGAGGCGGGTGGTCAATATCAGGCGCAGCCTAGAGCTATCCATCGGTTTATCCCACTAACGTTGGAGCTCTTTGATCTAATGAAATCTGTTTCTTATTCCCAGCCCCCTCCTCTCTACGTGAGTACAGCTTCATTCAAGCCGATGAGTGGTCGGAATGAGTTTCTTTTTACTACGAGCGAAACCCGAAAACTAGAAGCACGTACAAGAGTATATGAAACTACTTTTTATTTCACAAGTGGAATAATAAATACCGAATATCTTAATTACGCGCGGCGTTGACAGTGGAAAGAAAATTTTGCAAGTGATAGATTGGCAACGCGTATATCCGTTGATTGTATTATATCTTACCACTTTAATGAGCACTAAATTCAAATCACTCTATTTCTGTATCATATAATCTAACGTATCTCTATACCATTTGTAAAGCATTAAAAGCTGTTCGCATTTTTGTAGAATATTTAGCCAAACTGGACACCATAACACCAAACTGCCAAAAGTAGTAATAAGAGAGATCTTTTCTCAATATGTTACAAAAGATACTTTAGAAATAATTTCAGTCAAATAAAAATAATAAATACAGGTGCCGGATGTATGTGTTGGAATCTATATTTGACAGTTTCATATATAAATTGATGGAATTCTTTAAAGTATTTTGCAAAACAGAGGAAACTATAAAAGAACTTCAATGCAAAACTGCCTTGCTAGTTTAGAAACAGATAGCTCCCAGCCTAATATGAATTTAAACGGTTATTATATTTATCTTGGTCAGCTTCCAGGAATATAGCTAATTCCCTGTTTCTGATTATACAGGGTATCCATAATTTATTCACTAGATAGAAATATGCTTTAAATAATACTAAATGATAGATAGGGAAAAAAAGGGCTGAATGAATTTTATTTAGCACTCTAGAGAATTTAATATTAATATACTTCAACATGAGCACCACTAGTTGCTCACAGAATATGAAGACCATTTCCGATTTAGACAATATTAAGAGTCACGGTAGCTGTTTCTGTGGTGATTTGGTTTTTTAATTTATCGATGCTGCAAATCTCTGTAGCATAAACTCGGTTCTTCAAGTATCCCCCCCCCAAAAAAAAAAGGTTGTAGGAAAAAATGTCACCCGGAAAAAAGGGAAACGTAAAGAATGTCCCCGGAAAATAAGAAACGGAAAAAAAAATGTCACCCTTCGTTTGCAATAGAAAATATAAGTCATGTTTAGAAAGATCGCCAAGCTGGGTGATAAAAGTTTTATCTTACCTTAAAACCTCCCTCAAGAGAGCCCGCTAAATTACAATTTGGCAGGTTCACCCAACTCCAATCGGCGACATTATTTGGCGAGATTTTAGAGTTCCTTTTTCTCCGTTTCTTATTTTTCGAGTGACATTTTTTCCGTTCCTTTTTTTCCGGGGACATTCTTTCCGTTTCCCTTTTTTCCCGGTGACATTTTTTCCGCACACCAAAAACAAAGTCGAGTGGTGTGACATCCAAAGAACGGGGTGGCCATGAAATTGTCCACCAATTGTCTACCAATCTAACGATCTGAGAATGTTTCATCATATAATGCACATGCATAGTCCAATGACAGGGCGCATCATATCCTGTTAAGAAAATACATTTCCTGCATTTCTTCTAATTGCAGTACAACAAACAATCTCAGCACATCAAAGTTAATGTCTGAATTAATTGATGACTCTGGAAAAAAAGGGACCAATCACTTTGTTATAAGTTAGTACCCGCTAAAACGTTAACAAAAGAGCTACCTCGAGCAGTTTCCCTTACGCAGTGTAAGTTTTCGAATAACCAAATCCTGCAGTTATGTTAATTAACCTCTGCTGCAACAGGAAATGTTGCGTCATCACTGAATACGATTTTTTGAAGAAACTGATCATTTGTTGACAAATCTCCAACTTATATACAGTCGCATATATATTTATACGCAGTCGGTTTCAACCATTCAAGAACAATGCTATGAACAGTCGACCTGGGAATTCCCGTCTGCAGCCTGGCACTACGAATGGATTTATTGGGACTGCGCACAAACACATCTCGAACGGCGGAAACATTTTCATCACTGGCGTTTAGCCTATCTGCGCCTCCTTTAAACAAAACATGCCCGGTTTTTTAAAAATGTTTCAACAAATTTTTAATTGATCTCTCCATTGGTGGAGAATTATAAAATTCATGTCAGAATCTTCTGTGAACTGCTTCCGGAGATTTTATTTTCCATGACCTTAACAGAGAACGCACATCGCTTTTTCACTAAATGATGCCATTTTGTAAACAAACAAGTTACTTATAATTAAGGTTAAAATAACACGCCGAACAAATATTAATTTAGTAATCATTAGGATTATTTGGAGGCAGACGAGATGAAAAATATGCAACCGCCTTCGCCGAGAATCGAACCACGGACGTCTGCCGTTACACTACAATGGCATGCTAGGGAAGTGGGAGAAATACCTTATAGTCAAACAACAAAAATCAGCGTTATATTTGCAAATTTTCACAGGGCTAGTTTCGATGGTTTACCGAAACATCAGCCTCAGCTACCAAAGTGCAAATGAACCAGCTTTTAATGCATCAGATTGCGGGTTGGATGTATAAGAAAAAAGAGAATTCAAGGTACTAAGTCAGAGAGTCATTTTTTAATTATAATCAAGAAAACACCATTTATTCATGACAGTTTGAGGAACTTTAAAATTTCAGGGCTAAACCCGTAACGCTCGGAAGGTTAAACAGCCGTTCTTCTAAAAAAGGGGGGAACATAAATGTTTCACACGAGGTTTTAAATTTTAAGGCATCTTTAATTCTATTTTTAAATAACATTTTTCAATAATATATATAACGAATTTATTCTAAGCGTTGAGATGAGTAAATGCTCATCGCAATGGTTAGAATGCTTGGGTCAATGAGCAAATATTTACACCAATTAAACGCCTTGCAAGGAGGGGAAGATTATTTGCAATGTTAATTCTAGAAACGGTAAAATAATCAGTTTTAACGATCCAGAATATCCAATTTAACAAGCCAATTTCTTTACATTTAATGTTAGCGATCATTTTTTACTGATGCTAACTTCAAATGAACAGTAAAATATTACTTTCTAAACTATTATTAAAACAGTTATACAATGCATTCTACATTATAGCTCTAAATTTCAATAAACCGTCTTTAAATCATCCCAGAATTATTAGGAAAAAAGTCGTTCTATATGCATTACCATGTCCCGCCAGTTTGATAAACTGCAACAAAAAAATAATAAGTCTACAGAAAAATACTATAAGCTATTTCTCCCACTTTCTTGACGTGTCTTCGTAGTATGGTGGTCTGCACGCTGGGCGCGTATTCCAGAGGTCCGTGGTTTGATTCCCGGCAAAGGCGCTGCTCATTTTTCATGACTCCTGCTTCCAAAAAATCCTAATGTCTCTACAGTGGCACCCGAACTAAAAAGGTGTTGGATGATGGTCCTCCACACCCAGGATTTGGCGATTGGGTACCCTAAAAACTCCAGTCGCCCTTTAAAAGGGAGTTGTATATAAGGTATTTCTCCCACCTTCTTGGCATGCCTTCGTGGTGTGGTGGTCTGCACGCAGGGCGCATATTCCAAAAGTCCGCGGCTCGATTCCCGGCGAAAGCCTTGCTCATTTGTTATAACTGCTTACAAAAAAATCCTAATGTCTCTACAATACTACCTCCATTTGAGAATCAAGTCTCATATTTGACGTGTAACAAGGAAACCCAGCGCAAATTCTTTCACAAAGAATATTTAGACAACATTCCATAAAAGCTATAAAAGTACGTATATAATATAAAAATAACTCACCCTTTTCATGAAAGACTCTATGGTATGTAAGGTGATAGTAGGCACATAATTTGCAAAATTCTTCATCACTTCTATGAGCCTTTGGGGATTTAAATTTGTCCACTGGACATTGGAATTCAGGATCCTAAAAAAAAAAGTGATATACTTGATAAAATGATTCCTTTCACAGCTATTGATTTTCTGCTGTATGTTTATAACTAGGGTTTCTTAAATTCAGGAATCATAGTTATATCAAATTTGAAGCAAGTGGGATTTCTACAATAGTTCAAATAATACGCAGCTCCTTTAATGCAAAATTTTCCATTAAAGTATGATCCAGATTATCTGACATATCCTCGGCACGAAGCTAAATTCACAAATCTGCAAAATCATTGAGGGCATTTTTGTACCCATGCAGGAAAAAGTTTACAAGATTTATTACAATTATAATTTCTATTATAAATTATAGAATTCCTGATACGCACATATTTTCATATTTTTGACCATCAAGCATGCTGAAAATTAATAAAAACCGCAGAGTTCGCTGTACAATTTGGGTTTCCCGATTTCTCATTAACTTATATTCCTACATTCATTTACATTTGAAATCCTTGAGAATAAAAAACAAATTTACGAGAACAAGCATTAAAAAGTGGCAAATTTCTTACATGCATATCCGGAGAGTATTCTATCTGCAACGCATTTAAAAAACATAATTTGAATTATAATTCTCAACTGTCTTGAAATAACTCGTATTTATTCCACTAATTATCCCTAAACAATGCAAAAAAGGGGGGTGTAATCCGTACCGCCAATACGCATTATTTCTGAAGCAATCTCGGCGATGGACAGAACATGCATGCTCCCGATGCAAGTTTGTCTCCTCCGCACCGATGACAGAAAAATACTATTACGTAATAACAACACCAGTGCACAATTTGCATTGCAGTTCCGCTATAGTGAACGTCATGTATAGTGAAATTAAAATAGTGTAAATTCGTCGTCCGAAGACTATAAATGAATGCAATTCTAGCTCCATACTGCGAACAAAACCAGTCAACAGATCAGTTCAGATAGAGAAGGGAGAATGACAAGGAAAAAATTACAGAAATAAAACAAATCAGCAGGCTCTAAGAGGGAAGAGGAGGATGACGCAGCTGACTGCCACAAATCACTGATCCGAGCGCAAGACAGAATTGTCAAGGGAAGTAAAGTCTGGGAGGGCAGCATCCGACAGTTTTACCACCATAGTAGACGAATGCCTTCTCCCACCATTACGCAACGCAGTCATTGCGTCATGAACAGAGCGGAACAGTGTGAACTACGTTTGGAAGAGTGCTGTTAATTGAGATAAAAGTATCCGGCATAGAGTAATTGTTAATTGTAATGTGATGAGATAATTTGGTAAAAGCAACCGTCATAAGTAAGCCGGCACAGAAAGTGAGAAAGACATCTCCAGTAAGTATTCTTTCAAAGATATGAGTATGATCGAAGAGAAAAGGAATTATCCGTAATTTATAAATCTTTGTAATAAAGAACTACAGAGCAGTTTTCAGCTAATGAACCAGCACTTACAAAGAACGAATTAGGACCGCGAGGAATATTATTTGGATTATTTTGATAGTGCATGCCAAAGAAAAACAACCTGTGCAACTTTTCAAAACTTCGCGATAACATCGCGAGTTATTTGGCGAGAATGTTGTTTCCAACTTATGGGATATCACATCTAACGACGTGTGAGGCTAGCAGAAACTTTTTCGATAAATGAGCTTCTCCTATCATTCAAAGATTCCTAGCCGAAGCATGTTTTCATGAAACTTCGGCTAGCCACGCGGGGCATTTTGCAATTTAAATTAAAACGTTTCGCTTAAAGCTGTATTCCGCGTAGGTTTTCCCCAAAGAAATGGTTTTTGTCGATCAGTCAGATATCTCGAAAGAGAATATTCGCGGAAATGTTTCTTTCGATGCGCTGTTGAGGGAAGGTAACAAATACGACACCGGTTTAAAAGTATGTGACCAACAAACACTTATGACCTTGAGCAACAATTTATATGAGGCATTTTGCGAGGGTAAATATAATTAGTAGGAATGGCAATATTTTGGAGGGGGACAAAAATATCAATCAAACATTTTCGAAGGTTGTAAAACAGAAAAATAAAGCTAGTTATTTTAAAATTTACTCCATGCCCGAAAAAAGTCTTGCCACATTAACGCGCATTGCTGAGAAGCCCCCCTTCTCCATTTTAAAAGGTAAGAAAGCTCTTATCTGTTCATAAGAGACAGTGTTATTTCAATAATAACTATTCAGTTTCAATACTAGAATATGATAATCTGAAAAAAAGCTCTAAAATTTGAAAAATGCTTTAAAAGAGGAAAATACTGAAAAAAATTGAATATGTCACCGAAATCCGGACCTTGGTCATAACAGGTTGGTTCTATCAGACATACACATTAGAGGGATGCGATTAACATACTAATGGCAAGCAATTATAGGAAATATTTAAAAGAGCTTTGCTTACGTAATAATTATTTATTAAAAAAGGTGAATCTATATATCTATAAAGAAACTCAAAGTGCTACGGGTTGCTACTCGGCGTCTTCGTCATATTCCACTAAAAGCCAACTATCGAACAATGGATGTTTAACGCGAATGAAACCGACCTCTTGGCAAAAACTGCTAATAATATAAATCTCAAAAATGAAAAAAAAAAAAAAAAAAAAGTAAATATGGCCAAACTTGCCTCGCCTCCCTTCAAAGACTCTCCTCTGAAAGCAATACAGCTGGAGATTACAAATTTGAATCTATTGCTGAAATAACACATGGAAGACAAAAATACCGAAACCTAGCTACTTACGAACCAGCTGCTGATCCCAATTTAGATACAAGAATGGAAGGCTTCCTATACGAAACAGAATTGCAGATATCTTAAGCTAAATTCATCTAGTATGCCACAGTGGATTTTTTCCCACTATAACATTTAATAAACCTAGAGGATTAAAGTAGAACAGTTCAATAAGATATCATTCACTAATCATCTGTGATGCTTGTAAAAGAAATTCAACACATTTATTTTATTCTTTCACCATACTTAAGGCAAAAATTATTCTCCAGTCTCAAGGCGATACACTTTATACAGAAAGAGATATGGCTTCGCAGTGAAAATTTGGAATATTACACTGCATCAAGAAAAGGAAAAGAGCATTTCAATTTGTCGATTAATTTACATACTTAAAAAGACACAAGATGGAAAATTACGTAATGTATAGAATATTTAAAAGGATAAAAAAAATCCGAAAGCATTCAGATTTTATGTTACGCCCCAGAGGGCGTTTTTTAACGTTTATTTTTTAAATAAATGTTACCTTTGTGTGTTACCTTTATTTATTAAATATCATGTTCTTTCGCACTTAAACCATAAAATTTAAACCAGCAGCAATATCGCAAACTATTTAAAAGAGCACATCTTTAGAATTTCCGATACACGTTTACGATTAAGTCTCGCGCTGGTGATAAAAATGTTTCCCCCCTCCCAATACAGTGTTGCCATTGCTCCTTTTGAAATCGTTGAGTTTCTTAATCAAAATGCTTTACAAAATATGAAATAAGATAGTAAAACAAATTCCAGATGCCCATATTCGAGTGGAGACGTACGTTATTCAAAATTTTATGGCTCTAGGTACCGTTTTTTATCCTAATGCGAAAAACATACATACATTTATGCAGATGCTTCATTTATTTAATTTCTTTAATTATAATACAGGGCGATAATATTTGGTGGCAACAATTTTAAAAGTGTTTCGCCGTTGATAGGGAATCGACGCAAAATGCCAAAACGAAATTAATAGCCCTTGTGTGCTAACGCTCCTTTGGGTTAAAAGAAGAACTGCACTTTAAATATCCAAAACTCAAAATTTAAAGGAAAAAAAGGGGCCAGCTGCTTAAAAAAAATTTCCAAATTTACAAACAAGATGTGCAGAAAAATGCAAATCCATGTCTTCAGTCGACAAACAAATCTAATATGAAAAAAGATGTCAGATATAACACATGATAAAAAAATAATGATTTTAAAGCTGCAAAAGGCTAAATATTATATATAAAAGAGCCAGAAGGATAAATTACACTTGCCAGAAATTTTAAGAGAAATAGGTCTCTTAAAAGAAATTCTGAAGTGGCCACAAAAGCTATAAAAATGCCTGACTATTAAAAATCATAAAAGGAACAATTTTTCATTATTTTGTTAGAAGGCTAGAGTTGATATCTAAAGTGAAATACCTGATCACTTTTAACATTAACGGCTATATTGAAACTATGGTGCAACAAACACAAATGCCGTATAAGATGACTGCGACACAAAGACAGGCTTAAAAAGCTGACTTCGTGATCGAATTAATACAAACTTTTTCTCAAATGGTATCTGCTGCTTTTTCAGCCCATTCTCACCTTTTGACACAACCCATGATGGGACAAAGGTGAAAACTGCAGTAAAAACATATCGACATTTAAAATTTTTCATTTTTTTCATTTATTATTATCGGAAGGAAAAACACAATAGACCACCCGGAATAAGAACCGAATACTGTGGGGCGACTCAAAAGATAAGCAAACCGTTAACCATACAAAAGAATGCTTGAGAGCTGAACGGAAAGGGGGGTGAAAAGAGGGAAAATATTACCAGAAAAAAACACATCTCAAAAGGAAAGTCAAGTTCTGAGAAGAACAGCACAGGGAGATTAATTCTCTAGAAAAGGCAACCAACCACAATGGATAAAATGTCTCGTTTGGTCCTACGAACACATTTTTTTTACTGACTGTTGTCTCATTCTCTGCACAGTACGAATATCTATCTCCTTTACATTCACAAATGTAACAACACATACGGAATGAGTACAGAAACTGAATGGCCCGATGGAAAATCAAATGCCACGTGTCTATGAATTTCAGTTTACGTTGCAAAATAAGGCAATTTGAAATAATGTCATTTAAAAACTATCATCAAAACAATACGTATTAGAGATGAGACATTCGAATCTTGGACTCCTATTAATCTTGAAAAAAATGGAATCTCGTTTATTATCATTCGAAATTTTCGAATTCTAACCTAACAACGTTTAGTTCTAACCTCTGAAACGTTTTAGTTAAAAATT